GGGGGGAGGGTAAAACGTTGATAAGTGTCTCAGGACCGAACTGTAAAGTGCTATTCAGTCGATATGTGATGGAGCAGTTTGGCGAAACAAGTCTTGGATGAATGGCGCAGTTGAAGGCATGAATACCGTAAACCCTCCGCTCAGGGACACAATTACATTACCAGTGGGCGGCTATATTGTCATACGGTAACTCAGGCCAACACAACGCCTTAATTTCAGTCGTTCTTTTCATATTAAGATGCTATTCTAGGTTTCGAGCAACAAATCCAGGCTGGTGGTTCGCTCATTGTCATGTCGAGCTTCACGCCATGAGCGGAACGGCCTACGCATTTCAAGTTTGTGCTTCCTCGACTTCCTAATGATGATTTTTAGGCAATACTAAGAATTGAACGAGCATCAATCGTTACTCTTCAGGTTGGAGAGCATGAGGACATTCCCCCACCGCCAAAGAACTTCCCGCATGATTGCGGTGCCTTCAAAATGCCACCTCTTGCTCCACGTCGGAAATTTCGTCGTAGTCGTTGAGAAGATGAGTATCTTCAGCTCATGCTCAATCTCTGAATCTTTCAAACTAAAGAATTACGGGTGAGGCCTCATTGAGAGCCACAGATGGTATCATCGCAATCAGTCTGTCGATTCCAACACGGATGAACGGGCCCCACCTGCGGTATCTCTAGCACTGGTTGTTTTGTTCCTGAATCAATCACAAACCCATCACCATTGCTAAAGCAAGCAGGCGGGCTCATCTCACCCTCCCCACACCGTCCCCGACATTGCGATGTTGCAAATACGATGTTACAAACCATATGTCACTTTCATTACAATTGCTCAATCTAATGTTCACTTTGTATAAATTTACCACAGTCAATAGGAATTCGTTCGTGATCTCATCTGTTCTCTTGTACTGACCGTAATGTTCTGATGGTCAATTTATAAGTTATTCAAATTTTTCCGATTTTTCTTCGATGCTTGTACGAACGCTCACACATGCAATAAATGCGCTTTTACGTTCATATCTCACGATGAAAGAAGATATGCACAATATGGACACTTTGACTGCTTGCAAAATGTTTCTCAGGTGTGTTACTTTTTCCCGTATCTTTAACTTTCAAGATCGACTTCTAAGCTGATTTTATAGTTAACTTATTTTATCTAGTTCACCCCTCCATCACCTTGCCACCGGTCCGCCCGACTGCGCAATATTAAGTTCTCTGGAAACACTATAAATTTCTAGAGAGATTATGCTTTCTATTTTCAGCGTCATACAATTGATCGAGTGTATCAATATCACGAATCTCTCGCGTTGTGAAGGTTGTAGAAGTTAGCAGAACCCTTCCCCGCTACTGATCAGATGTAGAAGTATAGCAGGGAACTCTTATGACACTGACACCACGCCACCCCTCCCCCCCTCACTCTGCCAGTACCTGCGAGCCACGGTAGAAGAACAGCAGGTTGTAGGCGCAGTTCAGCCTGAAGGGACATAATAACCGGGTATACGGGAAAAAAGTTTGGAAAAAACAAGGCTACTTGAAGAAGACATGCGATAATTAGTACAAATGGCGCTTTTTTTGTACTATTTGTGCGAGTTCATAGGAAGCTACTGAAACGCTGTAGGTCAACACAACTACCAGGATGGATTTTGGCGAATGCACAAAATTGTCCTCCCTTCACAGCTCTTACGTTATTAGCCAACAGCGAAGTTTTCGGGCCAGTGGCATCGTAATCTCGAAAGAGCTTCATAGTGGAAAACTGGAAAACATGTTTGATTAGACATTGAGTGAGTTTTGTTTTCCTTTTTCTTAACGAAACATCAATACCTGTGGAACAGTTATAGCTCAGTTGATGACATATGAATTAAGCTATGTAGAATCAGCTCTTCGATCTCGAAACATGAGAAGTCCCTACTCCAAAACTCGGCTGACTCTTTTATTCTGTGCTAGCTACATCTAATAGATTTGGAAGCACACTGGTACAGACTGCCCAGAGATGCCAGCTCGGCGACACCGCCGATCAGTGAGTGGTGATGCTTTGCGACAGTCCTCCAATTGTTTGGAAGCGGTATTGTAGCGCGGTTAATAACTGGTGCAGAACGGGTTGGCATTTGCGCTTAGACAGCCACCAGCCCCTCCTGACTCGCCCAGGATCCTTAGCGAACAAGACTGTGAGGTGCAGAGGTGAGTGCTGAATTTCGCTCAGCAATAACACCTTGGTCCAGCTCAATGAAGATGGATTCATCATATAAACTGAGGAAACTTGAACTTCAATCGAGTGCTTCTGCACTTACCTCTTCCTTATAAGTGACCGTTTTCAAGCGAGATCTAGAGGCTGTGAGACTTGGTCCTCTGAAATTATTGCCATTGTGAAATTAAGCATATTTCGTAGGAGGCTACTTTTACACCCTGTGAGAGTCATTTATCCAATGATCTATCTTGACACTGATGGGCTAAGAAAGGGATCGAAGCAAGTGCTTTCACACAGAGAAAACAGAGGAGGTCGACCCAGTTAGCATGCATTCACACTTTGCGGCAGCGTCCTCCAGTGACCACCAGCGATCATCAGCTTTTGGATGTCTCTCGAAGCTAGCGACTAGGAAGGTATAGATAAGGATCTAGCGAGCGGCAGCGTCTACCAGCGTCCACCAGCGTCCGCCAGCGACCATCAGCGTCTGAGGGACTAGGAAACTATGGAATCAATCTAGCGTTCATCAGCGTCTACCAGCGACCAGGAGTGGAGAGTATGGGGAAGTAGAAGGGTAGCAGACTGCTGGAGGGTATGGGAAAGTAGGAGGGAGGAGACAGCTGGATCAGAGGTCGTGAAATCGTGGCGTGTTCATCCGCCCGTTTCTTACTACACAATGCCTACTTCTAGTCGCTGGTGGACGTTGGTGATCGGTGGATCGGTGGTGGACACTGGTAGACGCTAAATCAATATCCATATTTTCCTAGTCCCTCGAAGGTCGCTGGCGGACGCTGGTAGACGCTGTGGACGCTGCCATTCGCTAGATCGATATCTGTACTTTTGTAGTCGCCAACGCTGATGGACGCTCGAAACGCTACTGGTCGCTGTCGCAAAGTATGAACGCAGCCTTGAGCAGGTATTTGGACCCTTTTGCAAATCTCACTCCGCCACCTCGTGAAGGAGGAGCTACTCCCATGTTGGTGGATAGCCACTAGTGGCATTAATATAATTTTGAAAGTTCTCGGGTAGGCACAAAACTAACCCAGGGTTTATTCTTGTTGGCACGAGAGTATCTGCAGAGGACACTCAATACTCGACACTGAACTTATTATAACTAGTTGCACTGAAAATAGCCTGAATTATTAGCGATCGTTCATAAACACAATGATTGAATCATTGAGTCCCGCAAGTAAAAGGTGGTGTTTAGTATAAGTAAATAAAGATTATAGAAAAACCTCCTTAATAAAACTCCTCTACAAATGATTTCTAGATTATGCTTTCCGAACTGCTATCGTAAGGAATTTGCGCATTTGGCTGGCAGACTTAGCATTATTTGTCTCTGACTATGCACGCAAGTAAGTATGATGCAGTGCATCTATGTGAGATGATCACCTCAAAGGACCACTCTCAATTGGACTGATGTTGAAGTGCGATTATTCACACTCGCCAGGTGTGGTTTAGGTATATAATTATTGTTTCCTGTCAAGCTTCGTTCGGTCCAAGCAATGGGTTAAAAAATTAACCATTGTTTGAGCTCATTGAAACTATTAAGTTGTCCGGAAAGTCTCAGCGTTTTGTGCACCTATTTTTTGTACATTCACTGCTGATTAAAAACTCATTCTGCCTTGCTTCTCAGTAGCACATCCTGTAGAGAATTTCTTGCGCTATCTGATGGTATAATTGCCGTTTCACCATTGCTTGATAAACCCCCTTTTTTCAAGATTTTTTCAAGCATGTGAAAAGAGCACTTCGGACGATTTTTTTCTTCGACTATAAATTGGGGCAATCCGCAATCGAAACAGCTCAACAAATTAACCAGGTGTGGGGGCCCAATAGTGCTAGAGAAAGCACTGTGCGGCAATGGCTCAACAAATTTCGTTCTGGAGATTTCAGCCTTGAAGATGAACCTCATAGCGGTCGACCTAAAGCAATATCTGACGAGGATTTTAGGGGGATTTTGGAGGCTGACCCATCCCAAACAGTTCGAGAGATAGCAGAAGAGCTAGGCCTTGGCAAATCCACTGTTGCAGATGGTCTGGAACGCATTGGGAAGGTGAAAAAACTCGACAATTGGGTGCCCCACAATCGGAGTGACCGGCAGGAATCGGCACGTCTCGAGGTTCCTTCTGCATTGCTTTTGCGCAGCAGAAACGACCTGTTTTTGGGCCGAATTGTCACCTGTGATGAAAAATGGGTCATGTATGATAACAGGAGACGTTCCGGACAGTGGTTGGATTTCGACGAACCACCGAGGTAATTTTCAAAGCCGAACCCTCACGAAAAAAAGATTCTGGTCACGGCTTGGTGGTCATCGGCTGGTGTGATCCACTATAACTTTTTATCACCAGGCCAAACCATCACAGCAGAACCCTACTGTGAAGAAATCGACGAATTGTACCGAAAATTTTGTCAGATGCAGCCAACACTTATCAAAAGAAAGGGTCCGATTCCTTTGCATGACAACGCCCGCCCACACGTTTCACAAATCACTATCCATAAATTGAACGAATTGGGGGTTGAAGTTCTACCTCAACCGCCATATTCTCCAGACCTTTCACC